CCTGTAGGTGCCAAATGGTTCACATCCACCAGCTGCTCTACTGGAGAAGGATGGGCAGTCTCCTCCTGTGCGATTAATTGCTTCTGAAAACCCGCCAGGGGATCAGCTATGGGTCGGTTCTGACTCTACAGTACACAACAACAACATAGGTGACCTAATGGTAAGAAGCTGTGCTGCAACTTTAAAGGTAGGTGGTTCAAATCCACCAGCCACTTTGTGGAGGAAGAAAAGATCGCATTCTCATCCTGTGCTGTTAACAGCCCCCAAAAACCTGCCAGAGGGTCAGCTATGGGTCATTTAGAACCATGGTAAAAAACATCAGGTTGCTGGGAGTCAGAATTGACCCACTTTCATGGGATTTGATTTGGATTGTCAATTCAAAGCTTTGGATGTCAAACAAACTTGGCAGCTCTTTAGGACCAAAGAGGAACTTTAGACTATTCTGATGCCTGAATTTCATCTGTAGTGCAGTCTGGCCATTAAAGCCATTTTTATTTCCCTTCGTGATTTTAATGGGAAGCCAGAGTTGAGGATAACTAAAATCTGGCTTTCTACCTAACTTAGAAGGAACTTTAACATGACCTTCGTTTTGAAAAGTGTTGTGACTGTAGATACTTCTGTTACCTTGAGGCCCTGTTTTGGCATTTTCGGAAGAGAATGGGATTCTTCCATAAGGAAACTTGCAGCTGATGCAAAGGAAAACATTCACATACTTAAGAGAAAACAACATATAAATCTTAAAGGAAGCATGAAATTCTTCAGCCCTGTAGAAATTCCAAATGAAGAGGAAAGAGTGTGCATAGTGAGTGATATCCAGCTGCCCCCCCACCACACACACACAGAGCCATTGTGGTTATTATCACTCACTATGCACACTCAAAAATTCCTCCTTGAACCCATCCTCCTCCTCATGGAAATACCTCATTTTAAAAGAAATTTATTCACTCTTGGCTTATTTTGGCTTCATCTCTACTTTTCTCAATGTGGAAGACTTTAGAAAGACCATACACTTAGATTTCTTTGAGTCGAATTATTTGAACTGTCCTTGGACATGGGATGTTTCTTCTTACTGTCCCAGCCTCATGATCTGCTTTTAAAACACTAGAGTCCTAGTGCATATTTCCAGGGCTGTTGCTAAAAGTAAATGAGAGAATGTGTGCAAAGGCTTTGAAGTAGAGCAGACACTCATAGATATTACCTTATAATCATGCATTTATTTGTTATCCATTAAATTGGGTGTACTATGGCCCTCAGTTCACGAATGTTTATGGTTCAGTTAGATTCATAACTTCTTGGGCCTCTCTTTCCTCATGAGAACTAAATACTCCCTGGGTAGTACAAATATCAGCCTTTTAAAGTCCTGAAGACAACCTATTCTGACCCACTTGGATTTGTCATTAAATTGAAATGACTCAATGGCAACTAATTTTGACTGTGGTTTTAACAAGGTTAGTGTTGACACTGAAGGAAATGAAGGAGGTCAAGTGTGACATTATGAAATATTGAGACATAGCTACATATCATACATTAATCCTTTTGAAGTGTACAATTCAGTGCTTTTTATATATTCACAAAGTATGTGACCATCACCAGTGCTAATTCCAGGATATTTGCATGGCCCCATAAAGAAATGCTGTGCCCTGCCCCCAGCCCTCTGTAACCATGTGTATACTTTCTGTCTCTGGATTTGCCTGTCTGAACATTTTGTATTTTGAATCACAAACTACATGACCTTGTGCTTTGACTTTTTTCACTTAGCATTGGGTTTCCAGTGTTCATCCAAGTTGTAGCATTTGTTCCTTTTTTTTATGACTAAGTAATATTTCTTGTATGGATATACCACATTTTATTTACCCATTCATTAACTCTTCGATTGAGTTGTTTAATTTTTTTCCTATGATGAATACTGTCAACTAATTTTATTTCTACTCAGCACTGTTCCATTGTCAGATTTTATTATAAATTATATTAGTAATATTTTTACAAAGTTCTTGAATGTATGAGATTTAAAAATCTCAATTCACTTGGATAACAAACTGAAACTATGAGGGAGCTCTGGTGGCAAGAAGCTGAGCTGCAATCCTGAAAGCGCACTGTTCAAATCCACCAGATGCCGGAGAAGGAGGGCGGTACACAGCAATTAAAAATAAACAAACACACACACAAACAAACACACAAAAGTATGAGAGTTTTAGCTTTGATGCCTAAAGAACAGGACTGTGGCCAAGCTTGTAGTTAACAAGAAAAACAAATTGCACCAGGGTGCCTAGTGTTTCTGATGTATGCTACTTACTGTGCACCAGGACCTCATTGTTTTGTTGTTGTTAGCTATCTTATGCTATCCTCCCAATCTTTGATTTGCATGAGCCCATTGTTACAGTCACGGTGTCAAGCCCTCTTGTTGAGGGTATTCCTCTCTTTCTCGGACCCATTCTACTTTTGTCAGCATGATTTTTCCCCCCAAGGACTGTCCCCTCTTGACAACATGCCAAAAGTATGTAAGATAGAGTTTCTCCATCCTTGCCTCTAAGAAGCACTTTAGGTGCACTTCCTCCAAGATAGACTTGTTTGTTCTTTTCAGACTATGGGAATTTCACCAGCACTATATTTCAAAAACATCAATTCTTTTTCTGTCATCTTTATTCGTTGTCCAATGTTTAGATGCATAGGAAGTAATTGAAGAAACACTGACTTGGATCAGGCACACCTGAGTCTTTAAACTGACACTGTTACTCTTTAAAACTTTGGAAGTCTTTGACTGAAGCTTTTCCCAATGAAAGACATCTATCTTTTGATTTCTTGACTGCTGTTATCACTGATATTGATATAAAATAACACAAAATCATTGACAACATCAATTCTTTCTCCATCCATCAAGATTTTACCTGTTTTTCCGGTGAGGAGGATTTTTGTTTTCCTAATGCCAACATGTAATCCATATTTTGAGGGCTCTAGTTATTGATCATCTGCAGCAAGTATTTCAAGTCCTCTTTACTTTGTCCAAGCAAGATTCTGTTATCTACATAACTCATGTCGTTAAGTCTTCCTCTAATTCTGATGCTATATTTTTTTTAAAGTTTTTATTTTGTACTGGTTTGCTTACAAAGTTTGTATACCCTGTTTTTCACACTACATTCATATTGTGTTTTATGACCACTCTCATTTATTACTTGTGTTGATGTTGTTATGTACCATTGAATCACTTGCAACTCATAGAGATCCTGTGTACAACAGCCCTGAACCCTGCTCTATCCTGTGCCAAACTTACTGTCTCTGATACAACTCTCCCCATTTCCACAGTCATTGGATCAATCCATCTCATCCAGGGTCTTCCTCTCTTGTGCTGTCCCTCCACCCTCCCTAGCATGATGTCCCTCTCCAAGGACTGGTCCCTCCTTGCAACCTGCCCACAGTGTGTCAGATAAAGCTTCAGATTCCTTACCTCCAAGAAGCAGCCTGGTTTCACTCTCTCTAGGACGAACCTATTTATTCTTCTATCAGTCCATGGTATATTCAATAGTCTTCTCCAGCACCACAGCTCAATGGCATCAATTCTCTTTTTATCATTCCTAGTCATTGTCCAGGTTTCTGATGTATAGCAAATGACTGAGAATACTGTTGCCTGAATCAGGCGCACCTTAGTCTCCAGACTGACATCATTGCTCTTGAGTACTCTGGAGAGGTCCCTGAGAGCTGAATTTCCCAATGTAATACTTCTTTTGATTTATTATATTTTATAAAATCAATCCTCTCCAAAATATGCCCACCATTTCCCTGTCTTTCCCCACAGTATCTTTCCCATTTCCTTTACCCACCCCTCCCTCTACCCATCAAATTGCACAACCCTATGATTTCCTCCCTGCCCATCCTCACTCCTCTTCTCCTGCTCTCCCCCCCACCCTTGCATCTTTATACCTGTTTTACTTGTTGTCTTTCTATTTCTACAATAATGTTCTTTTATAATATTTGTCCTTATGGGACTGAGTTCACTTCTTTTTTTTAATTAAATTTTATTAATTTTAATGAACATTTACAGAAATTTTGGGTTTTCATTCATTCATTTTTGCATTATTTTCTTTACCCTTCCCCCCTTCTTTTTTTTCCCCCTTGAAAGTCTGTTTTAATTGTCCCCTGAGTTCACTTCTTATGCCACATTCTTCCTCCTATAGTTCAGTTTCTTGAATGATTTTCTCATTGCTTATGAATATGTTGTATGTATGTTTATGTATATATTTAATTGATATGTATATATTGAATAGATTTGGAGAAAGAACACTATCCTGATGCTCATGTATCCTGATTTTAAACCAGACAGTGTTCCCTTCTTCTGTTTGAACAAAGCTTCTTAGTCTAGGTATAGGGCCTCCTTGTTGTTGTGTTCCATCTTGTCGGAACCAACTCATAGCCGACCCTCTAGCATGTTTTTAGAGGCTGTCTAATCGCGTGGGAGAAGATTGCCCATCTCTCTCCTGCGGAACAGCTGGTGGGTTTGGGCCACCAGAGCTTCCTCATTAAGTTACCACGTATGGAAATTGGGCCTCATTAGGTTACCATATATAGAAATTGGGAGCTCTGATGACTTAATGGTAAGGAGTTATGCTGCCAGCCCAAAGACATGAGGCTCAAATCTAGCAGGCGCTCCATGGGAGAAAGACCGGCAGGCTCCTTCCATGTGTTGAATTGCCTCTGAAAATCTGCTGAAGGTTCAACCTGTGAGTTGATTTTGACTCTAGGATACATAGTAACAACAATACGTAAATTAACATTTAGGATTCTGTCCTCAAAGTAAGGAATGTTCTCCGCTCCAAAACAAAGACTGTAGTACAATTTTTACCCTCAAAAAGTGTTTAGGCAGGAGGGGCAAATGGAGAAGGCAGTATTCCATTAGACTAGTAGGCCTGACCTCCAAGACTGCAATGATGGTCTGCTTGTATGGGAATTACTTGTATGTATTATATTACTGCCATTGTTTGAACCATCCTCAATTTTGTCTCTCCCAGCATGGTAAGACACAAGGATGATGGTTCTTCTGAAGAGAAAGATGCAAAAGCCTGTCCCCGGGATTCTGGTTATGACAGCTTCTCCAACAGACTCAGCATTTTGGACCGACTTCTCCACACCCACCCCATATGGCTGCAGCTGAGTCTGAATGAGGAGGAGGCAGCTCGAATCCTACAGGCCCAGCCTCCAGGGGTAAGACTTGGAACAGGTTAGAGCACATATTTTTCCCAGAAAAAGGGAGCATAATTCCTAGATTGTACATAGGTTGCAATACAGAGGAACTCTGGAAATTAAAGCGACAGCTCTGAGTTTGACTGCTGACAAAGTTTATTGTCTTGGTTACTATAGCAGCACAGGACCATAAGGCATCCAGGTAAGACAGGCTTCTAGTGTGACACCCTGCACTGAGCTCTTGCAGGTAATGTGGAGCTTTGTTCTGAGGTCCTCACTTGCCCTGCTGTTCTCCCTTCATTCTTAGCTTGATAGCCTTGCCAGGCTCCAGCTTTCAAGCTTGGAGTCCAACTCTTCAAAAATCCTATGTCCAAGACTTGTCTGCTCCAACTGACTATGTAGTCCTCTTTGTATTGAACTTTCTCTGATGTTTTCTACTTGGATCAAAGTCTGAATTGGTTTCTTCAGCTACTGGCTGTCCTTCATCATGTCAAGATTATGCCAGGAGTCAAATAATTTTTATTTAATTATTGGCATATTATGAGCAATAACATCTTGCTACCATATTTACATTTAAGTTAAGGCATTTCATTAAGTTTGCGCTTATTAAAATGAAGCAAAATGTAAAAGTTCATTCCTCAGCTGTACTAACCACACTTCCAGTGCTCAATATTAGATGCCACAATATCCAGAGCATTTAACATCACAGAAAATTCTGCTGAACAGCACTTAATGCCTATTAAGAGGCTATTTTTGAAAGAAAATAAAGTTCCAACACATAACTAAAAAAGAGAAAATAAGATAGATATAAAAGCAAAAAGAAAATTCTTATCAGCAGCTGCTGAGTACCGTTGTCATAGTTGATCAAAGTATATAAAAAATAAACTTTTGAGTTTCTTAGCAACCAGAGCATTTACCACATTTTTACTTCTAAGTTAATCTCTTATTTTTTTTTTAATCACAACAAAAATTTACATAACCAATGCACCAATTCAGTAGTTTCTTTATGTGCAATCCAGTGTTACTGACTACGCTTTTTTATGTTGTACAACTGTTGCTGCTACGCTTTTCTAAATTATTCTACCACCATAACATAAACTCAGTAATGCGTTTCTCCTTTTGTTTTTTTTTTTTTGTTTTGTTTTGTTTTGTTATTATTATTTTTGTGTGCGTGTACCGTCAAATCAGATCTGACTGGTACAGGAGGAGATTGTCCCTCCTTCCTCGGCAGAGCATCTGGTGGGTTCGAACCATGCACCTCTGGGATTGTAGTTGCAGCTCCTTGCCACTAGGCCACCAGAGCTCCCCTGCGTTTCTCCTTTTGATTCTTACCTGACAGAAGCAGACAGGACTAAGCTCTCTGCCTCTGTTGGAACATTCTCAGAGTTACTAGCATTTGAACAAGTTTTCAAGTTAGAACTCATAACTGACCCTCCAGTTGTTTTTCAGTGGCTGTAAAACACAGGAGGAGATTGTCCATCTTCTTCCCAAAGACCAGCGAGTGGATTTGAACTGCCTGCCTTTGGGTTTGGCAACACAAATCCTCAGCCACTAGGCCACTGTGTTGCTGGTGTTGTTATGTACTGTTGAGTCAGAACTGGTTCAGAGCTGACCTTCCAGCAGGTTTTCAGAGGCAGTCAACTACACAGAAAGAGATTGTGTATCTTTCTCCTGTGGAGAAGCTGATGGGTTTGAACTACCTGCTGGTGGGTTGGCAGCACAACTCTCTACCACTTGGCCACTGTTATTGTTGTTGTTGTTGTTGTCATCAGATGTCACTGAATTGACCACATCTCACAGTGACCCGGTGAACAAGATAGTTGAACTTTGTCCTATCCACAGCCATCCTCACCGTCCCTGATAGACTTGAGCCCATTGCTCCAGCCTCTGTGTCAATCCATATCACTGAGAAAGGGTACTACCTTGGGTGGCACATTCTGTGATGCCTTTAGTGCCTCCGTCTACGGGATTAGTATCCCTTTGTGACAGTCTCACTTTCTTATGAGTTAGATGAATTGTCTACTCCTGGAATTTTACAAAAACTTCATTAAGAAGGAGATTGTCACCTTCCTACACAACTGTTCTCCTCCCTAGCCGCTTTCTTCCCAGTGAAGGGCTTGTTCATTCCTGCCTAGACCTGTATGGCAGCCCAACATTTCATCGATCTGACTGATCCTTCCACAGAGCCCATGTGAGAAACTGAGTAAGCCACTGAGACGGTGAGGGAAGGAGTCCTTATAGGTGAGAGTGGCCACAGCAGGACAAAAGTGGGAATGGTGGAGAAGACACAGATGCTGGAAGTGTGTGAAGGAGGTTTGAAAGACTGGCCCTGGACACTGAGTAAAATCACCCTTCAGGATGCCATCACCCTTAGTTATCTGCAGCCTGAGACAAAGGACCACAATTGTTTTCTGTCTTGGAACAGATGATAAAGAATTTGGGCTTTGCTACCATTCTGTCACTCTCAGTTCCAACTACTCAAATCTGTAATGCAAAAGCTTCCTTGAACAACTTGAAATTAATGAGCATGACTGTGTCCCAGTAAACCTTCATTTACAAGACAGATGGCAGGGTGGATTTGGTCTGTGGATTGCAGTTGGCCAACCCTGCTCTAAAACAGTCAGACTGCAGACATTCAGGAAATAGACCCAGAAGTTGTGCTTCTCTGTGGTCCCAAGCCTTAGGGAGATTCCTCCTTTCAAAAGACCCACCTTCTCACATACAACCAGGAGAAGATAAAATAGATGAATTTTCTAAAAATCAAATCCTTATGCACATCCAAAAACTTCTCCAACAGAGTAAAAAGGGAAGCCACAGGCTGGGAAAAAATATTTGGTAATGATATATTAGATAAGGGACTTATATCTAGAATTTATAAAATACTTGAGCTCCACAACAAGATAAATGTAAATAATGCAATAGAAAAATGGGCACAGGATATGAACAGACACGTCACCAAAGAAGACATTCAGATGGCTAACAAGCACATGAAGAAACGTTCAAAATCCCTAGTTCTAAGAGAGATGCAAATCAAAACAACTATGAGATATCATCTTACCCCAGTCAGAATAGCAAAATTTAACAGAACAACAAGCAACAAATGCTGGCCAGGTTGTGGAGAAACTGGAACCCTTATTCACTGTTGGTGGGAATGTAAAATGGTGCAAACACTGTGGAAGGCAGTATGGCGCTTTCTCAAAAAGTTACAAATAGAGATACCATTTGACCCAGCAATTCCACTACTGGGAATATACCCCAAAGAGACCATAACTGACATCCAAGCAGATTTATGCACACCCATATTTATTGTGGCTTTGTTCACAATAGCAAGAAGTTGGAAACAACCTAAGTGCCTATCAGCAAACGAATGGATAGAGAAGCTGTGGTATATTCACACAACGGAATACTATGCTGCATTGAAAAACGAGGAACTCATGTAAAATTATTCAAAATGGGCGAGTCTGGAGAATATTATGCTGAGTGAAGTATCTCAGTCACAAAAGGACAAATACTGCATGGTGCCACTGTTGTAAAACACGACTGACATTGGAGTTCGGGGAAGACTGAGAAAGATGGGTTCAATAATGCCTTGAAACAGATGAGGGAGAAAACTGTTTAAGAGGGATATGTTATTAGGTATTTTTGTCATGACAGGAGTCCAGAGCAAAGGCTGCAGAGTGGAATAGACCTGGGGGGAGGGATTGTAAAGCAATGAAATAATTTTTCTTTTACTTTTCCAAAAGGGTAGTGTACTAGGGAGGAGGGTTAGGAGGGGAGAAAAGTGCAACAATGAATGAATGGAAATCCAAAGTCTCTGTAAATTTTCATGGAAATTAATAATAAATTTAAAAGGGGGGGGGAAAGACCCACCTTCTCTCAGCCTCCCTACAATTCTTTTTGTAGTTACTCATCAGAGTTCTGCATAAGAAGCCTCTGCTTTAGTTTTAGTGTTCCCTGGCACTGGACTCCCAGAACAGACTGCAAGAGGAATTTTATGGGCACAGTCATATGGGTGCTG